TTTTAAGGCCGCAAACGAAAAGAAAGCAGGTTTAATGCAATCTCACGTAGTACAATCGCCTTGGCACACTATCGGAGTTGATTTAACTGGTCCTTTACCTAAAACTCCGCGCGGGAATGCCTACATCTTAGTTGTAGTCGATTATTTCACGAAATGGGTCGAATTTTTTCCTCTAGGCACCATCAAATCGAGAAAAATCGCTCAACTACTGCATGACGAAGTCATTTGTCGTCATGGCATTCCCGTTAAAATTGTTTTCGATAACGGTGCACAATTTGTAGCCGACGTTTTTCGAGGAACTTTAAAGATCATGGGTATCCGGCATCGAACGACCGCTCTTTATCATCCTCAATCAAACTTATCTGAGCGTGTCAACCGGACATTAAAGCCCATGCTGGCTATTTTTGCCGAACATGATAAAGAACCTTGGGATATGCGACTGCCGCAGCTAGCACTTGCCATCCGAGCGGCAATAAATGGATCGACTGGCCAAAGTCCAGCATTTTTAATGTATGGTCGAGAACTGAAACTACCACTTGATCTCGTGTACGGTTCCGAAACGGATGTTCTTGATAAGTTAAAATTATCTGAGGAATTCCGAACGCACACTGAACGACTTAAAGCCATTCTTGTCTCTGCACATCAGTCGGCCAGAGAAAATCTGGAAATTGCGCAGTAAAGACAAAAGCTTCTTTATGATCAACGTCGTAAAGATGTCCAATTTAGAGAAGGAGACCTTGTTTTGATGGCTAACGCCTCAGGATCAGCTTTAGGCAAATGGGCCCTTCCTAAATTGGCTCCTAAATGGATCGGTTCTTTTCGAAATTCATGCAAGATTGGTCCTCTAGACTATGAACTGGTTTCTTTAGAGGATGGTGCGGTTCTTTCGTCTGTTCACGTCGAAAGACTGAAACCGTATCACCGTTCATCGTCAATTCTAGTCTCAGATGCATAAGGAAACTAATTTGAGCCTCTCACTGTACATATAAATACTTATATTCTATAGCTGTGCTCTTCTTTTTGCTAGATTTTGCTTCTTCGTGCTGTATTGCAGTGAGCAATATCGCTAACTGTTTCGGTTGCATTGTGCACCACTGTCTCACCATTCTGCTTCTCATTTTATTACGTATTACGTTATTTTGTACGAGTTCGAAAATTCTCTTACAAAACGTTTTGTTCATATCCGTGGCCTGATACTCGATGACTCACCTTTTATTTACGTAATCCTATATCCAGTAATGCACTTTATTTTGGAAAAAGTGAAATTCATTTTTGAGAGCTCTTTTTTTGGTAGTTTGTCGAGCTTTTCAACAGGATTGTAACTACATCTTTCAAGTTTTCCGGCCAAGTCTAGTAAAAAAGTTATTTAGGCTACATTGAATGGAATAAGAGTCACATGTAGAGAGGACGATTTGTGGACAATGGCGTTGCTCGCGAAATGATATTCAGGCGTTTTGCTCGTGAAACGATACTTATTTGTTTATTTTTTCCTCTGCTGGATATACCGGTGCTCTTTCGTTAGAGGGAAACTCAGTTCTTGGCTGCTGTTCTAGAACAGTACAGATATATGTCAACACTCTTATCCTATTTCACGCAAGATTCTTAACTTCTACTATTTCAGACCAGACTCTTTCGTTTTTTTTCTGACGCAAGAGTCTTGTTCACAGGACGCAAAAGAGAAATAGATTGTGAAAGAGTCTTACAAGAGAATAATGTATAACATTAAGACAAGGGTCTTATCAAGATGTCTTTTTCTTTACTTTTCCATTTCTGTTGCTTTTTAGCTCGAGAAGATCCGCATTTTATTAAAGGATGGCCGTAGAAACTGTTTTGAAGTTTACTGAAACTCAGAATCGTAGCGCTACAACTGAAGCTCCAGTGGTTACTCCATTCAGAGCATTTTTTTGTGAAAGCATAGAAAGTTTGCGTCAGTTTTCACATGTCGGTATTTGTATGAATATTATACCCAACAGTGACCGGCTTTTTCTGTTGGATTTACAAAACCGCATTCTAACTTTTACAGGCACTTGTTGTTTTCTCTTGCGATGCTGATTTTGATTTTCCGTTGGATTATGATGTCTTCTCAGAACTGCGAGAAGAATTATTTGGTATGGTATTTAAGTTTATTCCTCCTTGGTTTATTATGTTTATACTTTTATGATTTCATTTTGGCTTATCATTTTAGTATTTAGTTTCTCCCACAAACCAACCTTTGAATTAGATAAGTATTGTTTATTCTTCTTTCTTATTTTTTGCTATAAACTGGTGCTTTGTGGATGTTTTTTCTTCTTCGTAGGTACCAGGGCTCGAAACAGGCCGACACTTTTGAGGCCTGGTCTGCCTGCGTCAGGCCGGTAATGTTTAGATCTGCCTGGGCCTGCCGATATATTTCCTGGGCCTTGCCTGCCTGCCTGCCATTACTCTTGGCCTAGCCTGGCATAGTCTGTAGAAGCCTGGTAATTTTTTTAATAAACAAAATGTACAAATAATAGTAACATAAGATGAAAAGAAAGGTGACAGATAACTAAACTATATATCTAAGTAAAAAAGTTTGGTTTTTGTTCAGGTATTTTCTGAACTGATCTGACTAACAAGATATCCTCAACCGTGTCAGGATTTAGTGAGCCGAAATGCTAAATTTTGAATAAAAATACACAGATTTCATAGGCCACGTCGCCTGATAGTCTGATCAATAGCCAACACTTTTTAACATTTTGTTGGCGTTCTAAGTAGTCAAAGGTTTGTTTTTATATTTTTAAATTGAGTATCGAACAACGATGTTTTACTCTTCAAGGTTTCTTTGTAACCAAACGATAGAATTTTAAAACAAGAATAATTTGTTTGATCAACGATAAATCGTCTGTATTTTGGTCCCAAGCTTAACAATCAAATATCATCGCATGATATGCATTCGTCTACAATGCTTTGCAGTTATCTCACTTCTTTCTGAGGTTTAAGTGGAGATGGTAAAATGTGAAGTGAGTAAATAACAAGCAATCTTTTCTTTCTTTCTATAAGAAAAGAAAAAAGTCAGCTTGGCATGAGCCGCAACTCAGGTTTTCGTCGAGTGTTTGCTGCAGTCAGCCACATGGTTGTCGTATAGAGAAATTTTCTAACCACCTTTTTCTTTTTTCTCTGTTGCATGATTTGAAAGAAAAAAACAACCATAAACGAAAGAGTACATTATCGCTGTGGCAACGACAGACGTGTGCAAGCATCATTCGAGTATACTGGATAAAAAACTGAATTATTTCTACTTATCTCCATCGTTCTAAAATGGCTACAAGTGATGCACCAGGTCGTTTTACACAATTGGAATGGAAAGATAAAGAGCTTCCACCCATTGATGGACTAGAAACAAATGATCCGCTTCCAGAAACAACACGAGCTCTCCAGTCGATCAAACCTCGTATTTCTAATTTGGAACTTTACATGAAAAATGCCAAAGATCATTTCAATCTCTAACCAACCTTACTTTTGATGAATATGCCGCCGTGTACTCGTGCACGATGGAAATGGGTGACATAAATTATTGAATCAAACATTACGATCTGAGAACAGGAGTGCATCTAACGGTTGGCTTTCATTCCTACGATTACTCCATTCAGCGCTTGAAAAATTGCGTCATTTCCAAGGGGAATGCTGGCGAGGCACAAAAGCTGCAGTATCGGAAAAAATCGAAGTTGATCAAATACACACAATGACTGCAAGCCGAGAAAACTTGGCAAAAGCAAAAGCCAACAGTCAGAAATGTTGGCTGTTACTTGTACTAATAATACGACTTTGCTGAACAAAACAAAAGTAAACACTGAAAGTTCTACCAGAAACTTGGGCTATATCAGTCTAAGATGCGCGGCATGCAAGGTTACAGTAAAAAATAGAAGTACCTGTTTAATACACCATTCGATAGAGAATCCAGCGACGAGCACGAATATCACTTCGCCGGCTCTCCATATCCTTTCCTCGCTGAGTATCCTCAAAATACTGAAGGGGCTCAAAAAACGGAAAAATACTCGTTTTCAGAAAAAGCCGTGTAGTTTCGCCAGGAAGTGTTGTAGAGCTTTGCGATTAGCATATTCAGATTCAGCATCAAAAACTGAATCTATAGATGTACCTTCTGAAGCCGCAAAAGGAAAACTCGATTTTTGACAAAGCCCGAAACCAAAGTGACCAAAATCCACCAGCCGTTTTTGTAAGTCTTTCAACTCCCCCTGGAGAGGTCCTAGAGCCAACATTTTTACACCGTACGATGCGCCATCTCCAATCTTCCTTTCTTTTTGGGCCACTCGTAAAATTGATGTAGCTCAGTCAAAAAACGTCATGGAGAGCTCTCCATGACGTTTTTTGACTGAGCTACATCAATTTTACGAGTGGCCCAAAAAGAAAGGAAGATTGGAGATGGCGCATCGTACGGTGTAAAAATGTTGGCTCTAGGACCTCTCCAGGGGGAGTTGAAAGACTTACAAAAACGGCTGGTGGATTTTGGTCACTTTGGTTTCGGGCTTTGTCAAAAATCGAGTTTTCCTTTTGCGGCTTCAGAAGGTACATCTATAGATTCAGTTTTTGATGCTGAATCTGAATATGCTAATCGCAAAGCTCTACAACACTTCCTGGCGAAACTACACGGCTTTTTCTGAAAACGAGTATTTTTCCGTTTTTTGAGCCCCTTCAGTATTTTGAGGATACTCAGCGAGGAAAGGATATGGAGAGCCGGCGAAGTGATATTCGTGCTCGTCGCTGGATTCTCTATCGAATGGTGTATTAAACAGGTACTTCTATTTTTTACTGTAACCTTGCATGCCGCGCATCTTAGACTGATATAGCCCAAGTTTCTGGTAGAACTTTCAGTGTTTACTTTTGTTTTGTTCAGCAAAGTCGTATTATTAGTACAAGTAACAGCCAACATTTCTGACTGTTGGCTTTTGCTTTTGCCAAGTTTTCTCGGCTTGCAGTCATTGTGTGTATTTGATCAACTTCGATTTTTTCCGATACTGCAGCTTTTGTGCCTCGCCAGCATTCCCCTTGGAAATGACGCAATTTTTCAAGCGCTGAATGGAGTAATCGTAGGAATGAAAGCCAACCGTTAGATGCACTCCTGTTCTCAGATCGTAATGTTTGATTCAATAATTTATGTCACCCATTTCCATCGTGCACGAGTACACGGCGGCATATTCATCAAAAGTAAGGTTGGTTAGAGATTGAAATGATCTTTGGCATTTTTCATGTAAAGTTCCAAATTAGAAATACGAGGTTTGATCGACTGGAGAGCTCGTGTTGTTTCTGGAAGCGGATCATTTGTTTCTAGTCCATCAATGGGTGGAAGCTCTTTATCTTTCCATTCCAATTGTGTAAAACGACCTGGTGCATCACTTGTAGCCATTTTAGAACGATGGAGATAAGTAGAAATAATTCAGTTTTTTATCCAGTATACTCGAATGATGCTTGCACACGTCTGTCGTTGCCACAGCGATAATGTACTCTTTCGTTTATGGTTGTTTTTTTCTTTCAAATCATGCAACAGAGAAAAAAGAAAAAGGTGGTTAGAAAATTTCTCTATACGACAACCATGTGGCTGACTGCAGCAAACACTCGACGAAAACCTGAGTTGCGGCTCATGCCAAGCTGACTTTTTTCTTTTCTTATAGAAAGAAAGAAAAGATTGCTTGTTATTTACTCACT